TCTGTTTGGTCGTCGCGTCTTCCTCTTCATTGCTTCCATCTTGTGTAGCCGGAGATGGCGCAGCTTCATCTTGCCGGAGTTTCTTGTCTCTTGTCTTTGGAATTCCTCGGCGGTCGAGAGTAGCCTCGATGATGAGGGAGCTCGATTGTCCCAAAATAAAGAGTATCAGCGCTGCGCATTCCGGAATACCGCAGAAGGCGGCCAGTTGCTCTGCTAGCTCTAGTTGGGGGCATGATAAACTGGAGTCATCTCGCAGGTATATCCTCAGCGGATCTGTGCCTCCTTGAGGCATGAGCAGCGCTTGTAGACCGTCATCGCGGAACGGGCTTTCTTGACGGGTGAAGTCTGAGGTAAGGTTGGTTGTCTCAATGTCCCATCCTGCGAGGATCCTATCCGCGTGCCAAATTTTCACCTTTTTCAGTTGGTCCAAAGTTTGTTGCTTGTTTGGTACAGATTCAGGCATCAGGCTGTTTCATGGTAAATGAATGTTAATACCTCATCCACAAGAGTTGAACAAAATAGTTAGGGTAAAATTAGGACGTCTAACACATGGACTTACCGCTCAAAAAATCTGGCTTTTTCTTGAAACAGCATATCGATCTCTTTGCCCCGTGCCTTGCCTCCATCGATTTTGTGGCGCTGTTTTGCGACCTTGGACAGTAACCTACATTCTAGCCCCAGTATAGCCATCAGTCGCTTGATCGCATGTACGTCTTTCACAGTGAAAGCGAGCAAAGACACGATGCCATGAAAGCACTGCCGAAGGTGTGGTCGATCGGCGATGTACCATTGAGATCCGGCGGTGGCGGAGGAAAGCTCGTCAAAGCCCTTGTTGGAATCACCTCCTTCATCAAGCGGGAAGATATTCAGAGTGAGAAGGCTTTGTAGTGTCTTTGTGTCCTCCATCGATATTGGATCCGGCATAATCTCATTAAGCTCTTTGAAAACGCTAGCGATGTGAGACAGATGTGTAGACGGTGTAATTGCTTTGGATTCCAATACTAAAGTCTCGAGCCTAGCATTCTTGACTTTGAGGTGTTTCACAAAGAGTATTCTGTGATCTGGATGAATTTCGCTGAGTTTGTAGAACTGCGTTAAACACTTGGGGCCTGACCACACGCATCTGTTCAGTGTGACCCAATTTGGAAGGTCGCTGGGTGAGGAGCTCGGTATATAGATGAGATTTTTCTGCAGAAATTCGTCACTGCTTGTGGTCAGTATTTACCTGGTTTTTAAAGGGTCAATGGATAACATACCGCACCAGGGCAGGATTATCTTCACATTGACCCTGAATTCGGTCATATAGCCAGCGAACGAAGCGAACCGAGGCCTTACGACCTTGAATATGCCCCAAGATACTAAGATAAGTGTTAAGATCACCGTTTACTGTGACACCAAACACTTTTAGAAAAGTCCATCTAGGATCTTTCGGATTGGGAATGTCGAGTATTGGTGGGAGGACCGAATATTCCGAGCAGCAATCCTCTGGTATGAAGTAGCCTGTAGACGTCGCTTTCAAAGGATGCCGACTGCCATCACGACAGTGAACAGACACCGATGCCAACTGAGACCGCAGACCCGTGGGCCCAGATTCGAAAATATACCGAGAGTATACGGACCAATTCTCCTTGAGGAGCATCAAAATTTGCCGAGAACTACGCCTCTTGAGTATATAGCGAAAGTCCTCTGACAGCTCTGGGTCGATAGTGTTACCTGAAATCTTGACAAGACGGGGGATCTTCCAGAGGCCAAGTTGTGTGTGCAACCAAGTTCTCCACAATGGGAGTTCTTCTGACGCGACATCTTTATCGTAGCAGCTGTGTAAGAAAGGAAACAACTGGGTGTCTCTTTCCAGATATCGAGATGCAGAGAATTGCTCGTCTGTATCAAGATATATCTCATGCGAACGGCATAGTGCTCCATTCGTCTTGACTACCCAAAACTGAACGTCGTCGATGGGTTTCTCCCACCCTGATCTGAAGAGAAAGCGCGCCTGAGATAGCAACTCGGATGGAGGTGGATTGAGCTCCGGTAAGTTGTTCGAGTGCTTCTTCAAGATCAGTTTCTGGACCACAGGGTTGGAAAACTGCTTGACCCCGAGGTTTTTATAGAGTCGTTTACAATCGGGATTCTTTGCAATATCTCGATGCAGCTCAAACACCTCAATACCTGGTGGGATAAAATAATCTGGGTTGGGCCGTGGAAAGAATATGTTGCCGGAGGATGCTGCCACCCGGCGACCGTTGGTCAACGGAATAAGGTAAAGTTCAGATATTTCCAGTTCGAAAGAGGGGATCAGTGGCAAAAGGGCTCTCGCTATACTGGAATGCCACGATTCCGGCATGAGAGCTTTGTGGTCTCGGAGAAAGACTCCGAGGTCGTCAAGGAACTCTTTGTCGGATAGTGTGGTGACTCCAATATCCATCAGCCGCTTGCTGTCAGATTCTGAGTACTTGTGGGACAAGTATTTCGATTTTGTTGCGTCGATTAAAATCAAAGGGATATTGCTCCCATCTCGAAAATGTTTTGGCACATATCTGACAGTGTTGGGTGACCTCAACTGACCGTCTTCCGACTCCAGGATGGGCTTTTCAGGAAGTTCCTTAGCCAATCTGGTGCGGAAGTTTCTGAAGAAGTCAAACCTATATGAATAATCTGGCAGGTATCTAGGCCAGGTGTAGCGAAATGCCGTGCCCTGGAAATACTGAATATCTTCCAAGAAAGCAGCCAGCATTGCTTCGCGGAGTGCGGTGTTCCATTGGGACGAGCTGTCGATGTCCCCACGATTGGCGATGAGCAGAAAGTCGGCGTGAATGAGAAACTGTCATCTTGTAAGCATGCACGCAAGACAGGAGGCGAAGCTGCCACATAATTACCTTGAACCCATAATCGCGTATTGGAAGAAATGCATAGACTTGCTGCGGCTCAAGCTTGGTCTCTTGGGCATCGATGTACGGAAATGCCAGCAGGATAGCGGACTCGTCGCGGCCGCGGCGTTTCTGCTCATACGGCAATGGAGTGACAATATGACGACGGACCAAGTAAGTCATAGACTTATCACCGTAGCTCAAGGTCGTAGCTTGCCGAGCTTGATCGTCACTGCGGCCTAGAGTGGTTTCCCATTTGGGCTTATCCAGAGGCGAGGCAGCAATGTGGATTTCCTTCAAATTTCTTAGAAACATTAGGCATCTCGGGTCCATTGATCTCATTTCGTCGACCAACTCCGTCTCGTCGACCAACTTCGTCTGGCCACGGCGGCCACGCAGCTCCAATAGTACTGAGGTAAAGCCAGGGAGTGGCTCGACCGGAAAAGTGTCGCACTCAGGAGTGATCATGCCAAGGTTTGTTTTCGTCCTGTCGAACTTGAAGGAATAGCAGCCAGAGGCTATCGAAACAACATCGGCGATTTTGAAAACGGACTTGAAACCGATTCCCTTTTCACCGATCTGACTTCCGGAGCTGGACTTTGTGCTCCGACCAACTCTGCAGAGTGCCTCAACGTCGCGTCTGGTAAATCCCACCTCGTTGTAATCCAAGCGCAGACGTCCATTCCAGTAGTTGATCAACATCCGGGGTGTCGGTGTGGTGTAAGAACAGTCATCAGCATTTTGTATCAGTTCCAACAAGAAGTGTGTTGACTTTTCGTAGAGTCCTTCGGCGAGGCTGGGGAATGATAGGATTAGCTCCTTGTCTTTATGCGTCAAACATCCAGAAGGACGGGGACAAGGGGTAGGCATCGGAAATTACATTGAAATAGACGCCTCGAGGTCCTGCTGATTAGTGGTTGAGATATTTTGCTCTCCTGCATCCTCGATTCCCCGTTTTCGCCGAAATTGCTCGATGTGTTCATTGGCTTTGTCGCGCGATTCAGGCCTCTCATCCATCTGGGATGGAAATAAAACCGAACAGTGTGTTTCAATTTCTTTCTGAATTGCGCTGCAACTAACTAACTGTTCAGTCAACTTGGTGGAAGGAAGGCTGCTATCTGTTTATGAGTTCGGACACTCAGACGTGGCAATGCAGTGACGAGGCAACCATGCGACGGCCCTTTGGTAACACGCTAACGGGCGCTTTGGGAGCGCCCAGCACGGAAGAAAGCCGCTGCCCAACGCGGTGAGAAGGCAACCTCCAGGCACAATTGACGATTGGGCGTTCGACATGGTGGCGCAAGATATTGAGGCGGTGTCGAGAGTCAATGAAGTCTGATAGGTGATCCATGCATTAGGTACAAAGAGTAGTCAATGACGAGAACTTAGAAGGACAGAGGAGATGGCGGCGGTGGATGGCACTCATAGGTCAGTTTTGATGGGCGTGTGTAAGGTGGTTGATGGTCAATAATGAGGATGGTCTGACTGCGTAAAATGTAGCTGTGTGGCTTGTGTGAGAAGCCACTCACGTGCACCTCACGTGGCATGGCAGTGGCTGTGCGCTGCCTAACGGTGTTGTCGGCATTCTGACACAACAAGGCCGCTACTTGTAGGTAGTCATGACTCGCTCCAACTGGCCAGATATTACTCAGGTTATGAAACGGAAATGGACGTACGTTGAGAAAGGCATGGAGGTCAAGAATCGCAATTGAGTTTCTGTGGTATTTTGTGTGAGGCATTCCACGTTCCCCACCAACCAATCATATCGAGCCAAATCCCGCCCCATCTTCTCATTTTCGGGGTTGCACCCCGTCGCTCGAAATGGCGTGCTAGTCTTATCAGCACTTTTTACCTCGTACACCGTCACCACCGTGATCGTCCATCATTCAGTTCAGTTCTCAACGCTGCAATTCCTACTTCTTCTACTTTCTCCTTGTAGATTCCTAGACTGCGATACTCATTGCTGGTAGCGTTGTCCCTCCTTGTGGTGGTGCGTGTCTTATCAATCCCCGATCAGATCAGACCAGACCAGATTAGACTCCAAGTCACATCGGTGTTTGTTGCTGCTCTGCAAGCCACGTGGCGCCCGCGTGCACACACAAACACACACTCTCTCTTTAAAGATGCGGCGACATGGCGAGAGGAGGATTTCGTAAGTACTTTTGACAACGCAGGCGGAGCAGGATGGGGGAGGGCAGACTTGGGCGTCTGTGTCCAGTCCTGTCCTAACCCCGTCCACCCAAATCAACTCAACTCGGATTGCTGCTAATACTTACCATCATGCAGGTGCAAACGGTGTCAGACACGCAAGGTGCGTTGCATTCCCGGTCGTCCCAATGGCCCTCGTTGGAAAATGAATTGAAAGAGAACTGATGTCAATCCTTGGTGCCCCCAGATCAAATGCTCGAGAACCACACCTTGTAATAGCTGCACCGCCGCCAGAGTCCAATGTGAATTCCGTGCCGACGACTGGAAACGAGCCCCAATATCGCATGAGTATGTTGGTGCGCTAGAAGGGAGGGTCGCCGCGTTGGAACTCTTGCTGTCGAGTATCAAAACCTCGGCCGCGCCCCAGAGAAGCGCCATCATCGATGGCATCGATTTTCTAGACCACTTGCCTGCTCCCGTGCCCAACATGACTTCGCCTCCCCAGGTATCGGCAAAGTCCGTGCGTGACGATGCCCCTCGAGGGTTCTGGGGCGTAGATGAGGATGGTTCGTTAACTCTTGCCTCACCCCCTTTTCCTCTTCCTCACCCTTCGACCATCGACGTCGACTGATGTTCTGAAACAGGGGTAGCCGTCTTCCACGCTCCCGGGAGTGCATATGGGACTGGCCTTTTCTCATGCCACGAATCGAAGCCTGTGTTACCCGCCAAACCACCCCTCGTGGACAACATCGCCAGCATCCCCAAGGTTGTCATCCAGGAATGTATCACCTTATTCTTCAGATGGCAACACCCTTTCTGCACGCTTGTGGACCACGATGCACTTCGCCAGGACTGTAGACATCACCCGAGGACCCCCATACCTAGACTGTCCGCGCTCCTGCACGTCGTATGTGCTTTGGGTGCCCTGATGTCCGACGATCACAATGTTCGAGAGTTGGCTGATCACTTCGCCGCCTCGGCCGAGGATGCTGTCACGAACAATAGCTTCTGGCGCCCTCATATTGCAACGTCGCAGACCCTGTTGCTGTGTGCCGTCTTTGCCACTGGGAAGGGAAAGGTGTCCAAGGCCTGGATGTATTCAGGTGCGCACATCACATCACATTGATAGACAAGGCAGTTGCGACTAACAAGTCTTCAGGCATGGCGCTGCGGATGACCCAAGATCTTGGTGTCCACGAGAGCAGCTCACCGCTGTTGCCCGAAGAACATGCTCAGAGTGCGCTGCTTGTCAACTTGGAGTTGCGGCGGCGCATGTCTCTAACCTTCACTATTTCCGATAAGTTCCCACCTCAATTTTGACGATAAAGGTAGATTGCACTAACTCAAGTCGCAGATTCTTCAGCCTCTTTTTCGGGAGGGCCCCCATGAATGAAGACCACTCTTTCGTGTCTGAGGTACCGACTCTCGATCCTCTGAATACCAGTTCCAGCTGGGACCAAGCAAACTCCCTAGACGAGGCGGCCTCGGTGTCCCTCTTGCAGCAAAAGGTAGATCAGCACCGCAAGAACAACTTCGACGACGATCGAGACCAGTCTCATGCCTCGACGCTGTTGTTGACCAAGCAAGCGGAACTGGGAAACATCATCAAAGATATCCAGTTGCAAGTACACTGCAAGAGGAAACTCCACCTCCTCTCCGAGTACTGCCTTCAAGCGCTGTACAACAAGCTGAATGCCAGACTCTGGAGTTGGTATGATTCTCTGCCGGGTGATATGCGGTGGAGCCGATGGAGCTCGAATCTCGAAGAGGTAGAACCGAGCCTTGCAAATCTCCAGTACGACCATACCCCTTATATATTGATTTTTGTTGAGGATCTCACTGACGAATGGCTCCAGCATGATCTATCACACTGCGCGCATCAGCCTGAACCGGTCCCTCATCTCCGCTGACGTGCATGGGACTTCATCGGAATATTCCAAGTTGGTATTCGATGCCTTTGAAGCTTGCAATGGCTCCGTCGAGACGATCGTGGGAATATTCCGTCGCTTCAGTGCACAGCACACCTTGAAGAATGCGCCACTCAGCTTCGTCCACGGTGCGGTGACCGCGAGCGAGGCGAGTCTGGCCATGGCTGCATGTTCTCGCAAAGGCCGCCATACACAACTGAGTATCCAGGACACTTGCCTCTCTGCGATCGATGCAGCTCTGGCCGACATGGCCCACGCATGGGAAATGGCCAATAATGCAAGACATGGGCTGCGAGAAGGTCTGAGTCGCTGGGGTGTCTCGTTCGACACCGACGAACACTCTACAGCGGCATCTTCCCCCCAAGGGACAACGACAACCAATTCACCCAATTTCTTCTATCTTCAAAACACCGACACGACGTCGAATGTCGTGACGACTACCTATTACATGCAACCCGGCCTGCCCAAACCCAATGATATATGGGGAGCACCGCCACTCGATCTGGAGCTGCTCGCTCAGACCGACATCGACGCCGGGCTCACCACCATGTTCCACCACCCGGACGACTCGGACAGCAATTTCTGGAATTCTGTCATCGGGAGTGATAATGGGACGCCGTCTTCGACATCTCCGTCGTCATCTTCCAGTGGCTCGCGTGCCTCCGCTTACGTGTATCGGACGTGAAAAATGAAAACTGGGTAGATTTTGTGGCGCGTTTCAGGCAAAGGGTATCAAAGCAAAAAGTAGGGTCCTGGAGACCGGATCGGATCTTCAGGTCCATTGTCCAACTCCAACATGGATGGGCTGGCCGCGATGTTTTTTTGCATGTGACACTAAATGACTTTCTTAAGTGTTCGGTTGACTTTTGTGAAAAAGTGAGAACTTGTCTACCCTAGCACGTGCCTGGCAATGACATTGGACCCGGGAATGTGTCTTGTTTGTTCTCTTGAAACCTGGTCGACTTCTATGAAGCAAGGGTTAAAGTGTCAAGGCAGACGGGTGGTTGTTTAAATCTTACTATGTGAGAGACGTCTCTCGAGAGCCACTGTTTGATACTTCGACGTGGTCTAGTTTTTGCCCATATCCCTAGGGAGTATGTCATCGTATCCAGCAGACCGCACGTGGTTACTTTGGGAGGCATGCATTGCCATGAAAGTAGAACAAGGGCTTGAATCGGACAGCATCCTGTCAATGTCCGATATAATTGAAAATACCTTTCTTTTGCTGCTCGATCTTATGGAGTTATATACAAGGAGATCAAGGCAACCGGAGGAGAATCACGGCGTCCAAAATCCATCCTCCATCAGCCCATCAACCAATAACCCCGGGCGACGTTCCCCAGCCTGTATGTTGTTGCTCGTCTCAAAGTTGGAAAATCCCGCGAGACCATTGCTGCATTTGAAAGAGCAGATGCGATCCACGCACGGAATTCCATGATGATAGGCCACCGCCGCCTTGGCTTCCACGGGTGTATGCTCAAAAATCAACACCTCGTCCGAGTCCAACACATACTTGACGCGTCCGCCGCGGTTCACGCAGCCGTCTGCTTCCATGTACGCGAGTACATCAATGTCCTTTGCGTAGGTGACCACGCCGTTACGCACCACCCAGCCAAAGTTGGCCATGCGGTCGTCGTAGGAGTGGTATGTCACACCGACAAAGGACAAGGCGTCCCCTGCCGTACCGACGACCCAACGATGAGAGAGGATACTCTTGTTCCAATCACGGGGACCCCAGGCGTGATCACGAATACCCCAGCCATTGATGGTGTAGGTTTTGCCTTTGATCGTGACGGAGCCGCTTATGGTGCCGGGGACATCGAAATGGTGGGAAGCAAAACCAGACTTCATGCTACCCTTTTGTGGAAATCCAGAGAGATTAGGTCCGATATCTTTGTGGTTGATGAATGCAGAGAGCTCGTGCTCTGGATCCGTAAAGGTCCATTTCGAGAGACCGTCTCGGAAGATATGGGTGCAGCTATCGTCACCACTTCCCATACCTCCGCCGGGAAGGAGGTCGGCGTCGCGGAGAGGAACATACTTGGTGCGCTTGGACACGCCCTCGGGGGTGATGAGATGAGTCCAAAGTGTGACCTTCGCACCGCCGGGAAGGTTGGGTTCGTGGCCCAGGCGGTGAAAACCACCGACTTTGTTACATTCGTCCCACCAGACGAGGACGACGCTCTCTTGCCAATTCGGTTGAGGACCAGGAGTTTGGCGATTGTTCGCTTCGTCACCGAAAATCATCAGCTTTTGGCCCCCTGTGGCTGTATCGTGAAATTTTCCCGATGACGAACTCTTGTTTGTGCTTGTTTGCCCCTCCGCGGCCGCCGCGGCCACGATAGCGGTATCACTCTCTCTATCAAGCACACCATTTGTTGTTGGGAGCTGCGCGACAGATTCCGGAGGCAGTGACGTATAGTTCAACCCCATTTCCATGAAAAGTGCGTTGTAACCGAGCTCCCCCAGAAAAAAACGCAGGTCATTAGACCACCCTTTTTGGATGCTCAGAGTGGTCCTATTGAAGGCCAACGTCGTTCGGAGAATCGAGTAAGCTTGACAAAAGGCAAAATGCTTAGGGTTGATCTCTCGACCTCCCGCAGCGCCGTATGCAGCTATGAATTTATCCCAGGGCATGTGTTTGGAGACCAGCGGTTGGATATATGCGAGATCTTGTTCTGGGGCGCCAAAGTCGGCCGTCTCCCAGTCTAGGACGGCGGTGATTTGGCCGTCCTTTTCCAGCAGGTTGTGGACGTTGAAGTCGCCATGTGTCACCACCGGACGTCTCTCATCGTCCGGTACGTGTTTCATCATCCAATCAAATAGCCAGACAAGGTATGGGGACTCCAGATGCTCCACGGATGTGTAGTACACCCACCAGCGTTCCAGGGCACTGCGGTATCGCTGCGTGACGGTTTGTGTCAGGACTTTGGAATCTTCGTACTTGTCAATGTAAGGCTGGAACGTCTCCAGTGGGATGGCATGCAGTTTTGCGTGAAGAGATGCCAGCTGCAAGAGGAAGCTTTCGTCGAAACTTCGGTTGGCGGAGCTGAGCAGTGTTCCGGGGCAGGTTCCTGGCATGAGTGACATGATACATATGGCCCCATCGATGCCATCGGGGCCAGGTACAGGCTCAGAGGCCTCGTACACTCGCGGGGCAGGGAAGTCCGTGGAGTTCAGGCATTGAAGCAGAGCAAACTCCTGATGTGGTCGAAAAGCACCGCGTTTAATGAGTGGGACCGCATCCTCTTTCCGAACGACCATCGTCTCTGTGCTGTCATCATTGTAAGTGACTACGCACGAGTACGTCTGTTTGCCGCCGCCGCCAGTGAGACGTTTAAGTGAGCCCAGGCGTGTGATGCCACGTTTGCCTATCAAAAGGCGTCGAAGGAAGGCTTCACTTAGGGGCCCACCAGGATTTTCTTCTGGGAGCCGAATATGGGGCAGATCGACCGGCAAGGTTAAAATACCCCCGTAGTAGTCATGCTCCCATTTGGCCGCCCTCCGCAGGAGCATCGATGAGTTGGGGTCATTGTTCTTCTCTCCCACAAGGCGTTCAGCTAGGGTGAAGAGTTCGTTCGTCAGCTCGCCGTGACGGGCGGCGAGATCGTCGAAGTTTCGGTCCAGTCGTGGAACAGGCGGGTTCCGTCGAGACGATGGTTCAAGTGTTGTCAGGATGTCGGCGAGCAAGGTTTCGCCTTGTAGCAAGGCATCCTGCAGAAAGCCGATCTGTGAGCTCTGCCGCCTAAAAAGGTCCGTCAGGATAGCCTGGAGGGACCCTATGTAGGTTTTGGCCTCGTCAGAAGTCACCTCGGGTAATATGACCTTGTTCAGCACATCAAGTGCAGCCGCGAGGCTGTGTGTGGTTGGAATGAGTCTCATCCTGGTGGTGTTGCTTCACAACAGTATCAGAACTCGCCACGGTCAAACATGGCCGTCTGAGTGCATAATAACCCGAGACCTGGGAAGCTGTTCGGGGCATTGGAGACCTCCGCTCCCTTTCACGTCTGCTCGACCTTCGGAATCCGGAGCCTAGTCTCCCGTGCATCGTAGAGATTCTTGATGATGGCCCGATTTCAGAAAATGATCCGGTGCTCGCAAAGTGGAATACCTTGACCTCTATAGAGACACGACTTCACTGTTCTCGTTGTCTCTGGGCTCAGTTGTACTATCCCACCGATCGTTTACTACGACCTTCGGGATGAGTGCCGGCGACAAGGTCACAATCAAGCCAAGGAGTGAGGCACGTGTTGGCGTTCAATTTTGTGAAGCAGTCTGATGAATAACAAGCTGAAGAAAGATTCAGTGTCTATCTATACACTCATCGATAGAATATGCACATAGTTCGCCTGCTGTAAGTGGAATAACTTGATTGATTGATTAGGCAAGGAAATCTATCTAGCGCGCCTGCGGATTTGTTGCGTACCGCGCGAGCGTGGTGGAAATTATTCGGCCAACCTTCCCTATAGGGTTAGGGCAACACCTGCCAGTCTTGGAAACCGTTACAGCAGCAATTGTCTGCGAACACATGTGGTACGTAGAATGAGTGAGTGCGATGTCGTCCTAGATCGCATACCGTCATATCGCAAACTCGATGTTGGGCTTGTACCACCAGCAAAGAAAAAACACACAGAGAAGCAAACCTAGGAGCTTTGTGCCACTAATACCAGCTTGGTAGAGCCCGAAAGATGCGCTTTCCGGGTACCGGAAGCTCTCTGACCCGCGGATAACACGAGCACCCGGTTGGCTTTTCTCTTGGAGATCGGCATAGCCTTGCATTTACGGATACCAGGTGCAATGTCATCTATATTGTCTTAACATGCTAGCTAGAGTCTCCCGCTATCCACGAACCCCGTACCCCGGGAATAGGAGTTGCGTCTACCGCAGGCGTTCAATGCTTTATGCTTCCTGACCTATTTTAACGAGTACAAAACTCAGAAACGCACGCCCTATTCTGGATTCGCCGGCGTATATAAACTGGCGTTCCTTCAGCTTCTTCAAAGCTTCTAAACATGCAGCAATGACGGGGAGGAATAACAAAGGACATGCACAATACAGGTGAGCAGGTTGAGGTAGCATGTTGGACTACTCAGCCTTCGTTGGTTTGATCAAAAAGTGCAGGCTTCTAGGCACCTGCCCTCGATAAAGGAAATGTCTGTTCATGACACCACGGCCTGCAGCATGGGAGAGGAAGTTGGGCAGTGACTTGCCAATATCAGGTTCTAAGAAGGATGTGCGTTGACTCAGAGACAACAAAGAATGCCACCGGAAGCGGCATCACGAGGAATGCTATCTGTCACCCACACAACAAAGGACATCGAAATATGACCAGGTCCGATTACCACTATCCAAAGCCCCAAGGTATTAATCTGTTTCACAAGACAAGACAGCCGCAAAAGCTAGCTCTACCTTGACAGCGAACGCAAACCCTCGCACGCAGAGGGTGTCTCAAAAATCCCTTGTTCTACTCGCGACAGACTACGCCGCCATTTTAAGCAAGAACTGGTTCGTTTACAGAACTCCTATCTGCCTTCTCCAAGATGGCCCTTGGACACAGATACAAAACCCGACGACGTCCCGTCAATGGTATGCCTTTCATTCACCCATTCTACTGAACGGACAAGCCATATTAACAACGCTAGGGGTTCGCAAAAAGAGTGCACCGAAGAGCGAAGACCTGGTATCCCCCAAGATTCCTCGGCCGCGACGTATACACTCCTTCAATACAGCTACTATCAAAGATCGCCCTTCATCTCCCCAGGCGTTGACCGCCCGCTTAGTGACCAGAGCCGAGACTAAGAAACTCATTGTTGAACCCGAGCCCCCACAAGAACAGCCACAGGGAGACTCACCATCAGCAATCATACCCGCTACTACCTCAAGAGAGCAGGTTGCCACTTCACAGATTCAGAAAGACCTAGAAGCAAAATATCATCCAGACAAGACGCAGCGACGAGAACACGTGCCAGTACTCAAGCTAACTACGCGAAACTTGAAGACACTCCAAAGGCAACTGAATAGTCCATCTACCGAAATGAGTCCGTCCTCCGCCGCTAGAGGTGGTCAGCGAGGTGGCGGCAAGCGAGGCGGCAAGCGAGGTGGAAAGAGTCGCGCACGGACGACGAGGACCGGAGTCACTCCAGATCTGCCTGAAGAACGGACGACAGAAACTACCACTACATGGGTGTCCCCTGCTTGTTACCGTTATGGGGTACTCGAGAAAGTCAAGATTTTCATACAGTACATGGCGCCTCCGGCGGATATCCATTCCAAGCTGGCAGCTATTTTCAATCGTGAAATATCCAATGAGAGGCTGAGTGAAATATCCAACGTCGCTAAGCACATGTCGAAGGAGTTTGCTAGGGTCGTTCGAGCAAACTACCGAGAAGATGACTGGAATGAGGTTGTTATTTCAGCTCTCAAGGCACTGGATACGGGTTCGGATTTTGGATTTGCGAGAAAGGCCGGTATCGTACTCTCCAACACTCTAACTGAGAACATGGTCCGCGTGCTAACTTTTGACCTAGATTTTAACCCGAACTTGAAGCCCAAGCTTCCGTCATTGCTACCAGTCAACAACGAATCTGACAACACCAGCGATAGGCCTACAAAGCGACGACGGGTCGAAACACCCTCCGGCTCATCTTCAGATACGCCACACACCGAAGCAATGGAATCGGCAATCGAAGAACCCGTCGTCGTTATCAAGACTCCTCGACCTGATTGCACTATTGGTCTTGCACATGATACGGTAGCTCAAGCATTGTTGGACCATGGAATCGACGAGTTGCAGGTGGACAGCCTTCTCAGTACATTGGAATCCGAACATTTCCTTTACTCCAACCCCGTCGGGGATATGGCCCTCCTTCGATTTCCCACCCTAGTGATTGAAGGAAAGGCATATAGTACTGGGAAGACTCCCTTTGAAGCCGAGAATCAAGCTGCGGGGGCCGCGAGTTGCATGATCAACCTCTACCAACAGCTTACGGACGTCCACAATTGCTACGCGCCTAGCTCTCCCCACGAAAAGATCGCACCTCTCGCCTTCTCCATTACGTTTGTTGGGCCGACCATTGAAGTTTCGGTTCATTATACTGTTGTGAAGAACAATGTCACCGCATATCATATGAGTGTCTTGGATGTGTACTGCGCAACTGTGATCAAGCACCTGGAAACACTCGTTATTGTTTTAGAGCAAATCATGCGCTGGAACAAGGAGGACGTTTTGCCCGAGATAGCGAGTCAGTTGGCTGCGATTGCAAAGGGCAGGTAACTGGCCTCGTGCCGGGGAAGATATGCTCCAGGTTACGTTGCATGTCAAGGAGGACTTTTCGGAATGGATGTACAGAGCGAAATGTAGAGGGGGAAACGCAGAGATGGAGTATTCATGCTTCTTTTGGGCAAAAATTGCATTGGGTCATCGAGAAAGGTTTTTGCTGGAGCCATATGAAGTAGCGGTGCCAAAATATGGTCTAGATAATGTATTGAATGTCCGCTGAGTGTCTCTTTTGCCCTCTCCTTTGTTATTGAGCCGCAAATACTAACTACATGGGCTAGGCTCCAGTGTGAGGAATTCGAGGCGAGGCTGAGCAAAGAACCTTGGCGTGGATTACATTAAAGCAGCAACACATGCATGGTTGCCGGGTAACTTCCGTTTCCAAACAAAGCGCGTCACGGGCCTTGATCCTTAAAGTAAGATCTGACCAAGGGTATCAGCTTTGAGAACGCCCTTAGCAAACAGTTATTGAAAGCTCCTGATATATTGACATCACGTAACAATGCGCATGACTCGTGCGGCCCTGCGAGCCCAGGCTCAAGAGGAAGCGCAGCTCATTTACGAAGATGCTGACGCGAATGCGAATAATTCGCTACAGGATGATTGCGCCGACGCCAACGCGGACCAGGATCTTGTTCGGCCCCCATTGAAAGACATCACCACCGAGATCAACCCTTCGACCACCGAAGACCCCTTCACCGACGAACAGGCCGAGCCCATGCTGAAAGCTAAGAGCAGGAGGAAAGGGCGCAAAACAAAGGATGACGAGGTGGGAGAAGAGTCTGGCAAGGGAGAATCGGACGAGTCGCAGGAGCTGCAGCCTGAGGACGCGAATGACAGCTATCACGTTGAATCCTCTGAAGCCAAAGACAGTATACAGGACACGCGACCAGCTGTCTCCGTCGAACATGTTACTGTCCACAACGAAGTAACAGTAGTGACGGTAGACGCGACTCGGGAAGAGCAAGGGGTGACCGAGTCAACTTTGACCCCACAACGCAGCCACACCAGTCTTCCAAAGACGCCCAAATTCGATCCAACAGTGCATAAAACCATGGATGAGGTCACGTCACCTGCTCCAGACACTATAGAAGATTCATTTGTGGAGAACATCACGTCGAGGACGCCCGGCAGGTTGCATACTCTTTTGAAGGAGAGAAAGTCTTCAGAATCCTTCGCCGACCGGGTCAGCGCCCGAACACCACGAATCGAAGACTCTGTCGAAGCAATTGATGCTCTGGAAGATGCGATTGAGAAAATTTCAGAGACCTTGCCTGCCTTGGACGAACTCAAGATCGAATCTCCAGTCAAACCGCGAAAGACCACACCAGCCCGCCTCAATCTTCACGCGGGCACACCTGCTGTAGACCCTCAGAAAAAGTTGACTGGTCGGCAACCAGCAAACCCGTCTCGGCGCCCTCCTCAGCATGCTGGAGCAGGTGGTGCATCTTCGACGCGCCCGAAATTGACCGCTGCCCGTGGATCTTCTATCAATCCAACAGCCAAAGTAACTACCGTTGCAAAGCCGACCAAGCGACCCGTCGTCGATAGCCACAAGTCCAGAGTGTCTTCGAGCCAGAGTGCAGCACCGCCGCTTTCGTTCTCTAGTTCTCCTGTTAAGAACCCCACGAACACGACCAAGAAACAGCCAGCTACTGGCCCGCTGTCGACCAGCAAGCCCGGATTCGTACCCTCCAAATCTACCAAGTCTCCCACGAAGCCGAAGTTTAGCCTACCAGGGGAAGCGGTGGCAGCTAAACTGAAGGCCCAGAGAGAAGAGCGGATGAAGCGTGAGGAAGAAGCTGCCAATGAGAAAAAGTCCTTCAAGGCGAGACCGGTGCCCGCTAAGATATCTCGTCCGAGCGTTGTCCCACGAGAGAACAAGGCCAGCCAAGCAAGGATGAGCATTTACGCCACTGGATTAAACAAGGAGAATGTTGAACCTAAACCGGGTGTAGCAATCCAGCCAAAACCACGCCCAACATCGCTGGGTCCAAAATCAAAAGCCTCGGAGGTGGCAAACCCGAAAGCCAGCGTCCGTCGCACTACCAGCTCCGTCAATCCTCGAGCCTCAATTGCCCAGCTGGCGAATGGCCAGAAGTCCATGGTGACCAAAGAAGATGTCGTCCAACAAAAGGTTAAGGGCAAGGAGGTCTTTGAACGGTCGAAAGCCGAAATGGAACGTCTAGAGAAGGAGAGACGCGAAAAGGAAGACGCCGCACGCAAGGCCAGAGCGGAGGCGGCGGAGAGAGGTAGACAGGCGAGTCGTGAGTGGGCAGAAAAGCAGAAGAAAAAAATCGCCGCTAAGATCCTGGCAGCAAAAGAGAAGGAGAAGGCGGGTGGTGTTGGGAACCCGGCGACTCAAGGACAGAACAGTGCTGTCGCGCCTGCTTCATGATACTCTTCTGTGTCTTTCCCGTCTGAATGTTTGTGGAGATATATTTTCCTGGTGTGAGATGTGTTCCTTTGGCTCAAAGGTCTTGTTCTTCAGCGCAGGAGTTGGCAAGGACAAAACCAGTCTCATGTTTGGTCATGAAAGGGCAGCAAAATCATTCCGGCAGGCAATGATTTCGGTGTCATAGGTGTTTGGGGCACAGTGTCAAGCGAGCCGTAGAGTTATGCCCATACCTCATTCATTGAACTTAGCGTTTCATCGATTATGTTCTGCATCGTCTTCTATAGCGCGCAACAAGGATACCATGTCCAGGGCATCAAAGCAATTCGTTTCGTCCTGTACCGATCCGCCCAGATTCAAACCAAAGCACACGCACACACTTGGTCCCGCCTCCGAATGAAACACCCTTATTCGTGGCCGGGTACGATTTTCTCTTCACCCACCATCTTCCGTCTTGGGCTGTACAGGTATTCTGACCAACGGTACTGGCAGGTCTCGTTCCTGCGATGTCTTTGGATTTCCTACCACATCTCTTCCTGCTCCTCCATCCACATTGCCGCCGTCCGGGTCATCAGGTGCACCGGCGGTGGGAGGCGACTGCGACTGCGGCACCGGCACCTTCATCGCCGCCATCCCAATGACCTGCAGCACGTTTTCCCAGTTCGCCAGCACCAGCGCAACGGCCTGCGCGCCGTCTCGCAGGCTCCCCAGCTTCGTCTCCAGCTGCTCCAGCTGCGCCGTCAGGTGCGCGCTCAGGTCGCGCAGTTGTCGCAGGTTCTCCAGCTCGGCGCGCTTGCTGGCGATCCGGGCCTGCAGCTGGGATTGCGCAGGTGTCTGTGCGCTGGATCGTAGTGTCGAGGATGTGTTGCTGCTGCTGCTGCCGCCGCCGGAGGAGGTGGAGGGGTACATGTCCATGTGACGGGGGTGGTAGGACATTTTTGGACGGAGGTTGGGTTCTGTGGCGGGGATGGAGGGTTATGCACACACAGAGAGGGGAGATAGAGGTAGTAGGAGATGGAGGGACTGGATCCTTGGTATCGTCGGTCTCGAAGTGAAGTCGTGAGGTCGTGAGGGGTATGTCGTGTGTTATGTGCAATTCTCGTTCCGCATTGAACACCAGGGCATGCACTTAATATTGAACTCGCAAGTCCTGATTGAGGGCGATACGACTCCCATAATATCGCGGAATGTCCCCCAAATTCACGAAAACGCGTCTTCCATTGGACGTCATCGGTGCCAAGTCGGGGACTAGACCAAAAGAGGCACGTTGTTGACGCCGCCGTTTTCGGTTATCCCGACCACAAACCCCCAAATACCCTTGTACAACAGCAGCCCTTGCCCTTGACCTCCCAATCTATCGCCTATGCTGCATTGCTACGTGCAGAGCGTGCTGTCTTTGCTGGCCTTCCAGCCCTAGTCTGAATTCGAAGATCCAAAACCGATTCAATCATTCACGAAGCACGAGAAGATAACCCAGCGGCACATGATACGAACCACGACCTGCCATGGCGAAGCTCAATGATCCCCCCCTTCCACCGACAGAAAGCTTTGAATCCCGTAAGTCTACCGCCTTTGCAGAAGTCTCAAACTCTTCGCTATTCAGTGCTGGCGCACGCTGACGAACGGACCTACGCAGTGAAACGCCGCTTCATCCGTCAAAACCGCGAAATCGCCCGTGTCAATTCGACGCAGTCGCAACGCATCCGTAATCTCGAGACCGAGATCTCCCGCCTCGTGGCCGAGAATGTATCGTTGAGAGAACAGGCAATCGCCGCGCAGGCGGAAGCGGAACGATGGCGCGCGACTAGTTCCGTCAACGCAGAGATTCTCGACCTGAGGGACCGCTTGAACAAGAAAGTCGAAGAGGTGGCCGAGATGCTGGTCGAGATGGGCAACATACCCGAAAAGGCGGCGCGGAAAGGAAGACGGAAAAGCAGGCTCGTCAGGACGACGATGAGTAGTGCGACGGAACAAGAGTGGAGGAATCGGCTGTCGACCAGAGAGGCATTCGCTCAGGAGAGGGCAGATCTGTACGATGGGCGATTACCCTCTATCCACGAAGACAAACTTTATCCGCGAAGAACGCTGGAGACCTCTGAACTATTAGCCCTGCGGGAAGAGGCTGCCCTCCAACAAGCGGCAGAGTCGCCGGAGATCGGACCTCCTCCAGTCGTGCACTTTGACGTCCCCTCCGAACCCCCCGAGGTGGATGCTGCACGGATGTCAGAGGATGAGAATGCTGGGGAGGAAGTCATGCAGTTACCGTCACTTCTGGAAAGGAGGCGGAAACGTCGAACGAGCGCCCTTATTCACGATCTACCGACCGAAGAAACCCCTGTCCCGGATGAACAGCCAATAAAGCCGAGCCAGCAGTTACTGAAATCAGGCGCCAAACGGAAATTGGATGTCTCTGAGCTTGACGAGCCTGTTCTTCAACACACATCGAACGAGAATGATGACTTTGTCTATCAACGTCGGCAAGAGATCTGGAGCAACGCTACCGTCAACAGCAAAAAGGCGTCTAGATTTACGAGACCGCCAGGGCGAGAAAATGGGGACGCGATAGATCTTACGAAGCAACTAAGCCCTCAGAAACCCGCGGTCGCAACCAGGAAGATCCTCGCACCCAAGAGTACAAATTCCCCTGCGAAGAGAAGGGTGCAAGTGCCCGAAAAGCTCAAAGACGACCGAGATCTGCAGGTAAACCACACAATTGTCAAATCGACACGGCGAAAAGAGTCTCAAGCTCGTGTGGTTATTGACAGCCTTGTCAGTGGTTCGAATGATCAAGACGAAGAGAAGGACATTCCGCCGAAGACTCCAGCTGCAGAAGCCGCTGATATTCTCTCGCCCGTGTCCACAGAGCCATCTTCCCGCACAACACACCAAACGAAAGAAGCGGCGGTTCTGAACTCGGTGGAGGACGTGCTTAATGGGAGCATAGGAAGGGGATCTCGTCGGCCGAGACCACAAATCAGCTATGCCGAGCCTAACCTGAGAGATAAGATGCGAAGGCCTGGCAAGGGGTTAGTGGGAGCCATAGAGGGCATTGAGAAGCAAAAAGAAAACCCTTCGAACAACATAGGCACGAGTGTGGAACGGGCGAAGTCTGAAGGCGCCAAAGTCAAGCAGGAGGGCGAAATCCATCACGAGGATGACAGATGGAACGATCTAGCAATGCCGACCTCGACTGCTTCCAAGAAGGATGAACCAGTTAGCCCTTTGAGGGGCAAAGAGAAGAAGGGAAAGGAAGATGACGAGACCAGGAAGTCGGGCAAACAACTGAAACGCAACACTGCGGACGAGCTTGAGAGTGCTGTGGACCGATTGAGTATTTTCGACCCGCCACTCTCGTCACCTGCCGATGACTCGAAAGAAATGCGGACAGACGCGGATGACCACAGGTCATCAAAAAGTTCTGCTGGGGCGAGACGAAAACCGTTGTCGAGCGCGACAACTACAACTAGAAGGCATTCTATGCAGCCTTCTTCAGGTGACTCGGCTAATCTCCCTTCTGCACCTCGCCATCTCTCGTCAGGATCCACAAAGTCTGACGCAAATGTCCCGTCTTCACGACCGAGCTCTGCGGCAAGTCTGCGTGGAGACGCAACATCCAGCGGCAGAACTTCCGCGACAAAGGACTTCAGGCGCTCGCACAGCATAAGTTCCAGCCTCAAAGAAAAAGAGGCGGCATCTTCTGGAGGAGGAACGGGACTCAATGAGAGTTCCAGGGAGGAAAGAGCATTGAACAGGCGGCGTAGTATGATGGTATAGCGACCTTGATGGCGATAGCCGGCGTGGCGGCGGGTCTGTATGTGACCCAGGACTTTTCTTTGGCGACCTCGATGTCGAAGTTGTTGGATGTTTTCCTTTTTGTTCTAGGAGTTGGATAGCGTGAACGACCCGAAAGGGAGAGATCCTGACCTCTCTCATTATTGGAATGAACTGCATTTATAGAAAGCAGCAGAGGTGTTCTCTCTTCCTGCCAGGTTCTCTCGATCGATGTCCCTTGTTCCTCAGGATATGGCGCACCAATAACTGACGTTTTCTGATTATCACCACCACTCACGACCTCATCCATGCCCGTTCATGCCCTCCTTGTCGTTGCCGTCACCGTCACCGTAATCCACGTTCACCGACATGGCCATGATGACCCGCTCCAGCCGATCCGCGTATTCCTTCATCTCCCTCCTCTTCGCCCGCCTCTCCTGCTCCATCTTCTGCACCTTGTCCGCCAGCACCTTGATGTCTTCTGCCTGCTGCGCCGCACCCGTGCCGATCCCCGGTAACCGCGCAATCAGCATCTCGATCTGCTGGCCCTTGAGGACCAGGTCCTCGGCCAGCTCGCGCTGCGCGTTCGCGAAGGTCCGATCCGCCACCGGGTGCAAGGGGAAAGGCGCGCGCTCTGTGTCCTCGGGTCCCGGGTTGACGATCGCGGCGGGCGGCTGTTGTTGTTGTTGTGCTGAAGAAGCAGCGTCGCTGGCGCCAGCGGCTGCGGGGCTCGTTGCAGCACCACCACCTGCGGTCTGGGATATTTGGGGCCTTCTATTCCCTCCTCTTCGGGCGACGGCCAGGCCCGGCGGCGGGTTTGTGAACGGGTCGCTGGGGTCCGGGTCCGGCGCGACCAGCGGGTGTCGTTGCGAGAGGTAGCTCAGCGTGGCGAAGAATTGGGTTAGCAGCTGGTCGTAGCAGGTCTGCAGCTGCGTGAGGATGTCGTTGGACATGGTGAACGGGGCGCGAGGTTATGAGGTGTGGGTGGTCTTGCAATTTGTGTGTAGACCTCGTAACAGCGCATGCGCTGTGTGCAGAGCGAGTTGTTTTGTTTAGTGCGCATTACATTGGAGAGGGAGGGTTGGGACTGTTATTTTGCGGCAGAGGAGTTGGTTGGCTGATAATACACCTTGACTGGCGGCTCAAGATGTAAATTCACGCCGAGCTCACCCGACCTGCGCCGCTTTTAAAACACTGCTCACCTCCCACTTACCTTTCTACTTTCCTTTCTACGTACCTTTACTTACCTTACCCACATAAAACCCTCCGCGTCCCTTTGAAAATAGATATCTACTCTCGCGCTAGATGAAAGGGTCCTACGTCGACGGTCGAATAGAGCCTCTCTTCATAGAGTCTTAGAAGTAGGTGTCAGGAACGGGGTATATAGATAGGCAGAGGATAGCGATAGGTAATAGGTAGGTATAGGTATTCCTTGATAGTATATGAAATTGAAAAGCTGCGCAGAAGAGGTCGCAAGAACAGAAGAAAATTCTAGAAGTTCAGGAACCTCTGCCTCTAGACCAAGTAACGGGGCATTGGTGTAACCTCGTCTACAAGTCAAGGGGTGTCGGGTTCTGGATCTTAGTGACACACGAACATGTAGCGTCCAGGCGCCTGCGGCGTGCCAGCCAACAGCCAGGACAGACGTGTAGATTCTGGGAGCTCAATGGATTTGCTAACTGTTGTTTCCGCAACAACTTCTGGAAGCTGGCTCGGAAGACGATCAGCATCTCCCCTTATTCTTCCTGTTTTTGTTCTTTGGGCTTTTCCAGTGTGACTTCCCCGGCTGCACCTGGGACTCATATTAGTGCCTAGGGCGAAATTGTGTGCAAAATCCACAAAAGACGCGGCGAAGAAAGGCAAGAAGGAGGTTGTTTCGTGGTGGTTGGTGAAATATGTACCTCGTATACTGTTTCCAGGCAGTTTTTCGGTGATTACGTGAAATGCTCCGACCCAGGACTTGCGATGGGGGTGGCTGCGATTTTCCGTATTATGAGCCCAAGCCGTATCTGGTCAAGCCCCTCAACCAGGCATCCTTCGCCGCTTCATTGAGGTAAGGAAGAAGTCATTTCATTCTACAATTCCATCCGTACTCCTATTTACCGTATGAACATAGGTACCTAGTAGTTTTTTATATACCATAATACCACCGTCATTCAAAGCTC